TTTGTATATGTACAAATTGATAGTTGGCTTTATTTAATTTTTTTTCTCTCTCACATAAGATGGGCTATTAATTTTGTTTCTTCATACAGAAAGAAGCAGATGGCAAATGTGCATGTATAACCCTGTTTGAATCCATTGGCAGTCAATTTCTCAGTTAAAAAAAAAAAAAACTGGAGAAAGTTTGCAGATTTAGATATTTATCAAGTCCATATCTATATTGCGTGAGTAAAATGCTTATTTTATTAGTTCATACAATGAAAAGTAATGCAATTTACATGCATGTGTTGTAAATAAAAAAAAAATATATGAATATAAAAATTATTGACATGAACGTTGTCATTGGCATATACAAAGTAGATGCTGTGTGCTTATCAGAATCATAGAAAATAAAGTAAATATTCTGTTTTCACACACATATGCTTGCTTGTGTATATTCAATAGTTTATTGTGCAAATATAAACATCTATATTTACAACAATGATACATGTGAGAATATATATATATATATATATATATATATATTTTTTTTTACCTGGTTCCCTGACTACATTAATTTAATTTATATATTTATTTTATTATTATATTTAAAATAATGATACATGTGTGAATATATATATATATATATATATAGGATTGGTGTATATGGAATAAATTCCAATAACCAAAAAATACTATTCTTAAAAGAGTGCTCAATACAGAATAGAGCAAATATAATTTATTTGAAAATTATAACATAAATATATTATAAAACACTACAAAAATAGCCATTTTGTTTTATCAAGTCATGGTGCTGGGTGTAGAAGAAAGAGTTTTAAAAAACTTTATTGTACATTCAGCACTATCACTTGATAAGGCACCAAAAGTGTTGAAACAAAATGGCTATTTTTGTAGTGATTTTATAGCATATTTATGTTATAATTTTTTAATAAATTATATATATATATGCTTTTTTTCCTGGTGCCCTGACTACATGAATTTAAGTATGCTACTAGATTGCCAACTAGGTCTCACCATTTTACTGTTGAAATTTGCTACATGCAAATGCCACTTCTACTCTAACAGTTTTTTTACCTAGCATTGCCCACCTGTGGAATTCTCTCTCTTCCTTACCTCATAACTACAATCTTCAAAAATTTAAATACAACGTCAATTGCCATCTTCTTAAACCCTGTTCCTTTTTTTGTCCTTTCCTCAGTCCTCCCTATTTTCAATCTTCTCATTCACTTTCATTTTCACTTGCATCAAGTGAAACTATTAAAAGAAAAATAGGATTAATACAAATAAATTTTGTCACTTGGTTGATTGATTTTGTATTAAGCACCTCAGCTATGGAGTTTTGCAATTGTTAAGTCCTCTTGTTTTCCTATTTTCTCTTTTTTTCATTAGTTTTTATACTAAGTTTTATGTAATTAATTTATGTGCTAGTTATGCTCTTACTATTGGTGTTAGGTTGATTTTTTTCCTCCTTGTGCATGTGCGTATATATGTATGTGTAAAATGTCATGGTTATATATATATATATATATATATATATATATAGAGAGAGAGAGAGAGAGAGAGATAGATAGATCTTTCAGTTGTGTTTGGTTGAATAATATCATCCAATTTTTTATTTATTTTGTCAAATTTAGGAATTAGTAAATTTAACAAATTTGGAAACATTCAAATTTACTCAGTGTGTGATGATGGGAGGGGCAGTTTAAGATAAAATATAAATAAATAATAAATATAAGCTTTGGTAAATTTATCAATATATATATATATATATATATATATTGATACAAATATGAAAATACATATATTACACTGGTTTTATTAAAATTGAATTGGGATGGGGTTTGATAAAAATAATATATCTATATTGAATTAAATTTTAAAATTGTAGGTTGTTTACAAATTTTTTAAAAAAATATTAAAAAAAACAATGTACTGTAAACGAAATATTATTCAACATAGGAATTTTATGGCCACCAAAAATACAACACTCAAAAAATCCAGTCCTATATATATATGTGCTCTCGTTTATACGTTATTTTTATAGATACAAATATTTAAGTAAATGCTCTGTTTATTATAAACACCATTAACAACATTTATCAGCCTGAATGTCCGAGAGATTTCATAGAAAATATGTGTCCTTAAAAACTTATCCTAGCCAACATGTTTCCTACTCTGGTGGAATTTATCAAGGGAAATGTAAGGATTTCATTTTGCAACAAGTGTTTATACATAGAAGTAAAAATATCATTAGTATTTTAGAATTTTAAAAACACTCACAAATTCAGGCTATCTATATTTTTATGAGCATTCTTAATTTTAAAAATTCTTGAAAACTAACAATATTTTTACTTCTGTTGCAAAATAAAATCCCTACATTTTCCCACCATTTAGTTATAGCTGAATTTTTATATATGTACGTATCTATATGTATAGATAGACAGATATAGACAGTGTGAAAATGGGAATTAACATTGTATTGTCACTGTCAGTTTCATTTCAAAAGTGATGTTCAGATCTTCCTTAAATTATTTGGGGATTGTAGAGAGAAACAAATTACTTAACATGCATGTAGATGCATATGTGTGCCTCCTTATTTAAATTATATGCGGTTCTACAGAAAGATGCAGTGGATACCATGGAACAAACATGTAAGCAATGACAAGGTTTTGGAGAAAATGGAAAACAAAAAGGAAACTTATACTAAACACCAGGAAGAGGCAGTTAAAATTTCTGGGGTACATAATGAGGAAGGGAGGCTTGGAAAACATACTACTGACAGGACAGATTGAGGGAAAGTGTTGACAGGGGAAAGCAGTTTTATACATACTTGAGCTTGTTGTTTTTTATACTACTATTCACTCAAGGTACAAAGTTACTAGTAGATGAGGTTTTTGTAAGGGTGTACAAAGAAGGAATAGAAGATGCATATTATGAGGATATGTAGGATAGATAACAGCTTTAAGTCATTCAGATTGTAGTGAAGCATCCTTTCAAGGGTTTGTTTCACAATGTAACAGTTCTGGAGAGGACAGACACCATGTAACTGTTCAATATTCTTTTTTTTTGTTTCTAACAAAATTTTTCTGTCTCTTGATACTCTGCTTAGCTTTTGATAAATAATTTATTGTTATAGTTCACAAATTAAATTCTATAGTTTTGTAAAAGGTATTGTTATCCCATATCTTTTTTATATGCTTGTAAATAAAGAACTGAATAAATAATGTTTAATATTTTTGTTGTCAATTCTCAAAAAAAAGAAAAAAAGAGTATGAATTCAGTTTCATATTAAAATACTAAAAATAGCAAATAACTTTTTGAAATTATGAAAAATTACTGAATGTTTATATATGTATGTATCTATATGTATAGATAGATAGATATAGACAATGTGGACATGGGAATCAACAGTGTATTGTGACAGTCAGTTTTATTTCACAACCTGGGCGATATCGCACACTGGTGGGCAATTTCAACTGTTGGCTGGGCACTGAGCAACTGAACACAAAATGGTGGGTGATTGGAAATTTTGGTGGGCAATAGACAATTTTGAGTATTAAGAAGATAGAGCAATATATGCTACCTGGAAAAAATATTCAGAGAACATATGCAAAGAACCTGTATAAAATAGAGACTAATTGGGAATAACTGAGTCACATTTGTAGATATATAAATATCCGCACAAATTTTCTATAGTCTTAAGAAAAGTCATTAACATTCAAATAGTTCTTCAAACAGAATAACATTTTTTTCGGATATAAATCATATAGGAGTAGACCAAGAACAACAAAAATATATTTGCTGAAATTTTATTAGTTGCTAGTAGTCTACATTTTTTTAAATTTTATAATTATGAATAAAAATTGTTTACTATTTTTGTGAACACTTGCAATACTAACCCTAAACATAAAACTAACCTTGACCATAAATTATTAGTTTTCTTTCAGTTTTAATCAAGTTTGCTTTCATTTTTTCTTTAAAATAGTCATATCAACAGCATCTGACATTGCATAAGTTAGCATTATTTTGTATCTCCCTTTGCTATTTTTTATTACATAATGTTTAATATTTTTCTTCTTTACCCTTATTTAGGCGCTAGACATTTTTTCCCACCAGAATCCATTTTATACAGTTATTGGTCCTGACTTGACACCCCAGCTTCAGTCACATTCCCACCTCCATGCCATAGCATCCTTAGCTATAAATACTTTCATGGCAATTGTTCTGATAAACTTCCCTCTTTGGTACCTAGACTTTATGAATTTAAATGCAGTACTAGATTGGCAGTTAGGTTTCACCATTTTACATTTGAAATGAATAGATGTAACCAGAAGTTCTATGTTAAGAGTTTCTTCTCTCACATTTCTCGCTTAATCATATCTGTTTTGGCTTCTTGCTTCTCAGTCAATTTTGATTTTCAGACATTTAATTGCAATGTCAATCATTATCTTCTGTCCGTTCATCTCCTCAATAATGTTTTTTTTTTTCCCATATTCTTTCACACTCAGTAAGGCTTGCATCTTAATGGCTTTATTGCCTTGCTTGGAGTGAAATGATTTTTTTAAAAAAGTGCAACCCGTATGCTTTCTCTCCCCCAAATCTCCCATCTTCGTCTCCTCACATGTTTAGTCCATGGTATTCTCAGCATCCTTTTGTAAAAAATACATTTCCGTTGCCTCATGTCTACTTTTGTCCAACATTCACTGCCACTTCTCACTCATGGAACTCTCTTCCAACTTCTTGATTTCCAGTCAACATTGATCTTCAAGAATCTAAATGCAATGTCAATCATTATCTTTTGTCATCTTAATTCCTGTTCTTTAATTGTTTTCTCTCCTTATTAGTGATGTTGCTTTTTCTCATATTCCCTCACATTCTAGTAACTCTTTGCATCTTAGTGGCTTTATGACCTTGTTTGTGGTGAAATAACAGATTATTATTATTTGTCAGATTATTTGTCTGGTAGTAAAGTTTCTGCTTTCTTTTAATGAAAAGGGCTTACAGCCACATCCCATATGATCACCAAAGTTAAGCAATGTTGAACCTGGTCAGTACCTAGATGGATGACTGTTTGGGAATGCCAGGTGCTATAAGCTTGGATATGCAGGTGGTTTCAACATGATATGGCTGATATGGTTATTTAAAGCCAGAAAATATTTTTTAGATTGTAAGATTATGTTAGTGGGGGGCGATAATAATGGTTTAGTGATACAAGTCTTACTAATTAAGCCATAGTGGGGGAAGATGAGGTGGATTCATACCTAATCAGAATTTGAACAGAAACAAGAAATTATAATGTGGATATAAAGTGGGGTATTAATTCTATATTACAATCAATACAATTGTATTCGAGAGAATGTAAATAAATTAAGTTGCCTGTGTATAGAGACATCCTTTTTCATATGTGTGTGCAAGCTTCTTATGAAAGATTTTTTGATTGATTCGTTTTTTACAGCTTATCAACCCTTTGCAAATTATTATTGTAAATTATTTAAAGCCAGAAAATATTTTTAGATTGTAAGAATTTTTTTTTTGAGATAATGGTTTGGTGATACAAGTCTTACTAATTAATCGATAGCTGGTGAGACTATTTCCCAAGAGTATTTTCACATAAGTAAATATAACAAACCCTACAAGAATTGGAACTTGGCTCTCTAATTAACAATGCAGAGCCGTTATCTATTACACCACTCACAAATTCAAGCTTACAGCTCCTGGTTTTCCTTAGAGGTCACCCATCTAGGTACTGACAGGACTTCATGTTGCTTAATTTCAGTGATTGTAAACAACATAAGTCTGTGCAAAAGTTTTAAATCTTCAATGTTTAAAAATGTTCTACTGTCTTTTCAGCCTCTAGTTTTAAAAATGATGTTTCGAGAAATTTTTTTATGTAGATCTAAATTTTTTAAAGATAATAATGGTTTAGTGACACAATTCTTACTAATTAACCCATAGCTGGTGGGGAGATGTGGTGGATTCATACCTTATCAGAATTGGGTAAACAAACAAGAAATTATAATGTGGATATAAAGTGAAGGACCAATTCTATATTACAATCAATATATAAACAGATCCCTCACTTTGTAGTCACAGTAGTTTCTATAAATTTATATTCCAGAGAATGTAAGTGCCCATGTGTTCTTTTTCCTATGTAAGCTTCATTCGAAAGATTGTTGATTGATTCATTCTTTTTTACGATTTGTCAACCCTTTTCAAGTTATTCAAAGCCAAAATATATTTTTAGATTATGAGATAATAGTTTAGTGATTCTAGATGTTAGTGCATGTGTACAAATAAGCAGATTTGTATAATTATATAAAGACAAAAATGTATATATTCTCTTTTATTTCCTTTTACTCTTTCTCTATATATTTATATATAAGACAATTTTATGTATAGTGTAACCCCTGAATTTTTTTGCATGAATTTTAAATCCTCCAGAAAAAAATTATCTGTATAGTGCAACCCCCATTTTACTTAAAAAAACTGATCATAAAAATTCACATTATACTCCAGTATATGGTATTTCTTTATTTTTCTATCTCTATGAGAGAAGTGTTGAAAAGGTGCCTATTTACTTGACAAAATCTGACTGAACATCAAGAATTTTGATGGCAAATGATTTCTTCATTGGATCAAGGGTTTTCAGCACTCCCTCCTAATTATAAGACTTTTCAGCACCTTCTATATTATATGATCAAGTTTAGTGTCTCATGCAAGAAACAATCCCAGTTAAATTTTGAATTTGCCAAGAAAATTTCAGTGTTGGGAAAGTGTTTGTTATTTTTTTTAAAAAACAATGCCACGTCATGTTGCAAGATTTGATGAGCACTTCAACATGGCATATTGGTTAGCAAGGGTTTCTCAACCATTTTAAGACATGGCACATCTAGGGGTAAATGAAAATATCACAGCATACTTAACAAAATTTTTAATGGGTATACATTTAAATGTTATGAAATAAAATCGAAAAATACATGCACAAATATGAACTTACTTTATTTCAATGTTTCTATTCAACTTAAAAAAGTTTAATACTTATTCAAATACTAACGCTGTTTCATTACTACTTCTATATACACGCACACACACACATATATATATATATATATATGCTATGACAATATTTTGTAGCACATTTAAGCAGATCATGTTGCACACTAGCACACATGACAGTCGATAATCACTGCACAAGATCAATTACAATTGAATAGTGAGTTTGAACCTCACTGAGTGCCCTATAATTTCAGCCTTGTGTCAATCTAAGCTATGCTTAGAAAATCACCATATTGCAAGACTTGATGACTAATCCCAAAGAGTACATATTTTAAGTTTTCTTTGGGTTTAGTCATCAAATAGAAAAGTTATATATATATATATATATATATATATATATATATATATATATATACAGGTGTTTCAGAGAGAAAGAGATTAATTATGGTAAAAGTTAACCCCTGTATATAAAATTACCCTTATTGGAGCCATGATACTGATGTATGGAAACTTATAAATATATTATTTACTCTTCAAAATATGATTATATAATTTATGTACAAGATAGATGCAGATGTATTTGTGCAGGGAGCCAG